AACATGCGAAGTATTGTAATAACACGAAAGAATTAAACTATAAATATTTTGCTTATATAAAGAAATTTATGAAATAGTTTGTGTAAATATTTGGAGAACATGAGTTTGTTTTATGATACATTTGAACTGAATATGTACACACATGACAATAAAATTACTTGTCCCAAAAGAGAAACAGAAGTTTGAAGAAGCATATATCTATCTATCACTTAAAACATATACATGAAGAGAAAGTAATGCGATAAGAGAAGCTTGGGAAATTTACCACTATTAACAGAAAATGACCTTCCTCGGAATGTTTATTTACTTAATATTTATAGTCAAGTGTTTTTATATTAATTTACAATGTCGAAGATACGTGTATATCATGAATTATCGATTCAAGGATAACAGAGCAGTGGACTGTTTTTTTAAAACTCAGTGCAGATCTAAAGAGAACACTGACACCGTCTCTTTTCGTACAAAAGGGTTTGCCCCCCCCCCTCTCTCTCTCTTCTAGGTTCACTGTTAGGTAATGGGTATAATTTCATATTGAAGTATACGAACTCTGTCGAAAAATTATGACAGACGATAAGTCGGAGAGGAAGAAGACTAGCTTGAAAAACACATTTGGACTTAATTCATTTCGATTGATAATGCATCATACCACAGGCACTTGTTTCTGTAATAAATTTTTGACCCATATTATAATAATAACACTTGTGTTATTATTATAATATGGGTCAAAAATTTATTACAGAAACAAGTGCCTGTGCATCATACATGTAGTGCATTTCAGTAAAGTGTAGTGTGAGTTGTGTGCATTTCTTGTGGATGTTTCGCAAATACCCAAACTGGTTGTTCGATAAAAAAAAATATTGAAGCAATATGTGTAACTTCATCGAAAAGTCATTCCTCCTATATTACCGATCGAAATTCAGATTCATATTAACAAAAACCAAACATGTAAGAAATTGTGAGAACATAAAAATAACAAAACTTGAAATGGAGAATTTGCCACAGAAAGCTTCTGTGGGATTTGTCTGGTATTTCAATTCATTGTGTTGTATTGCAGCAGAGTAAAGTTAGCTGCTGTTCAATATTTTCCTTTCAGTTGTACCATCAAGTACAACCTTCACTAAGAACATCATGATGTTTATGTAAGGCCCCCTTGTGATTGGTGGTATATGATAGGAAATTTGCAATGCAAGTACTAGTGTGTTACAAAGTTCGATAACTCAAACTACATATATTATAAATCATTGATAGAGACAAGGCTTTCTGTAATATTTCTTATGTGTATTACCTGAGACCACACCTTTCTGAATATGATAACTTTGTCTTTTTACCCTGTGACCGTCACCATGAAGTTTAATCTTCATGTAAGCCTACTTGTTAAAAAATGTTAACGTTTGATGGAGAAGGGATAGGACGTACTTTCATATGGTCAGATCAGTTGATCATTGAACTTTGGTGATTACTTTTGCATGACGTATGATAAGATCGAGCGTACATATTTGACACAATTTGCCATAATTATAATAACATCCCATCCACTACGACATCGAAACGGGTGGCCACAATTCTTTGAATTACAAATTACAGCCAGTCTTTGGGTGTACCTAAATATTTAATATATCTAAATCGTGCAATTTATATATTAAAAATCAACCCAAACTTCTCTTCTTTGACACCTGCTGAAAAACTTATATGGATATTGATTAATGAAAATAAAGAAATTTTATGCTTACTTGGAAAATTTATTTCTGAAAATGGTAAAAGAACCAATGTATAAATACATATAGATTCTGTCATCATGTTTATGCATGCTAAGCCATTTACATTTATACATGTACGTATAGCATCACATTTTTGTATAGTTTTGTGATCATTGACATTCTTCTGGACACTTGTATTATGTATGATCATTGACACTGAGAACAATATTATTATGTAACTTGATCATTTATATAACTGTTTAAAAAAAGAATATATATTGTTAAAAAAAAGAATGCTTAAATTGTACATTTATGTATGTTGAAATGCCCCTCGGGGCCCTTGATTGGTAAATATATACATTTGTGGTATCTCTCCATTATATAAACATTACAGAGAGAAAATATCTTCAATTCTGTATGAAGTTTGTCAGAAACCCCTAATCTATATATTTATGTACAAAAATGTAATGATAATTATTTTATTTTAAATGTAAACAATCTTTTTGAGAAATGTCCTTTGTTTACATTTTTCTTCACTTTTGTCAGCTGCACAGTCTCTAACGTTCATCCTTATTTTTTGGAAAGACTTTTGGTTAAATTTTCATGATAAACTTTTATTTTATCTTTAAATTTTACTCTCTTGATAAATGTGCCTTGGAGATATCTTTGCATTTAAAAAAAAAATAAAGCTGTCGCCATTGTCTCCGTGTTTATCAGTGTTTTACTATAAGTATGCCTTTAGATACTGAAACCGTGGAATGTTTTTGATCAAACTGCAAATTAACTGGCTCGGACAAGTGTCTCAATCCATCGGATCCATCCATCCCTTTCCAGCGACCGAAATTCCTCCAACCTCTTATCATCAAACTTCGGACGTGTTTCTTGTGTCTTTTCAGGATCGATTATCATTTTTCACGAATAAAATATTCCAAAAAACAAAATATTCCCTTCGAAATAGATTCCTTAGCCTAATGAATTCGAAGCGTAACCGCCATGCAAGCCGATTTACACCTTTGTGTCATTTTTCAAAATCTACGACGGACGGTATATAAGTAATAAAAACAAATAAACTTCATTTTTCTTCTGAGGCCTTCACAGGATTTGATCACGCCATAGTTTATAAACTTGTTATTTAGAAGTAACAAGTGAAGGCCGAAGGCCTTCTCAGATTTGATCACGTTCAGACCCACTTCAATTCCCATTGAAGTTTATAAACTTGTTATTTATTACTTATATATACATTTGAGACAGACGATTGAATACTTTCAAATTTGAATTATTGCACTAACCGTCCGTCGTAGATTTTGAAAAATTAAATCGGCTTGCATGGCGGTTACCTTCGAATTCATTAGGCTATCTATTTCGAAGGGAATATTTTGTGAAAGACTACTTGTGATCTAATAGTGAACAGAATGTTGTCTTGGAATATTTTATTCGTGAAAAATGATAATCGATCCTGAAAAGACACAAGAAACACGTCCGAAGTTTGATGATAAGAGGTTGGAGGAATTTCGGTCGCTGGAAAGGGATGGATGGTCAATGTTGACACTTGTCCGAGCCAGTTAATTTGCAGTTTGATCAAAAACATTCCACGGTTTCAGTAACTAACGCAATAAATAGTAAAACACTGATAAACACGGAGACAATGGCGACAGCTTTACATTGAACTACGAAAACGCCGAGGTGTTTGGCAGCTGTTCATGGCATGATTGCAAAGATATTTTCGAACAGATTTGCACATTTATCGTGAGTAAAATTTAAAGATAAAATAAAAGTTTATCATGAAAATTTAACCAAAAGTCTTTCCAAAAAATAAGGATGAACGTTAGAGACTGTGCAGCTGACAAAAGTGAAGAAAAATGTAAACAAACGCTAGGCTCGTAGTTTTCTCTATGTACACGGGTTGAATCGATAGCCCCAAAACTGTATGAAATACTTGTTTACATTTGAAATAAAATAATTATCATTATACTTGCTTCTTTTATTCATTTTTGTACATGAAAAGCAAGTAGAGCTGGTCATTTTATAATTTATGTATCGGTAGATATTATTGCGCCGTGTGATTAGGTCACGTATTGACCTCTGACCTCTGACAAACTTCATACAGAATTGAAGATATTTTCTCTCTGTAATGTTTATATAATGGAGAGATACCACAAATGTATATATTTCCCATTGAAGTTTATAAACTTGTTATTTATTTCTTAAATAAAATATCTTGTATCTTGTATAGGGAAACCCAATCTATATATTTAAAGTAATAAAACAAGTGGAAAAATCTTTTTGAGAAATGTCCTTTCACTTTGGTTACAACATTTTTTTTTCCTCTCTTGGCCTTGGAGATTGATTTGCATTTAAAAAAAAATAAACCTTGGCCTAGAAGTTCAGTCTCACAACGGTGAACCGATTACTTAAAGACATAAAAAAACAAGATGTGTTTGTGAAACACTATGCGCCCGGTGGTAACAAAGTTAAAAAAAAAACATTTTTAGCATATGGGCCATAGTCAAGGTAACAAGGTCACAGATCTTGATGTCATTCGAAAGAACTTGATTAGTGAAGTTATGCATACCAGATATGAAGTCTCTATCTCTCATGGTTCAAAAAGTTATGCTGAAGATTAAAAAAAGCTATCTTTAGCATACAAGACACAGTCAAGGTCACAAGGTCATTGACCTTGGTGTCATATGAAAGGACTTAATTAATTAGTCGTGTATGCATACCAAATATAAAGTCTCTATCTTTTATGGTTCAAAAGTTATGGCGAAGGTTAAATTTGATGAAAAAAAACTATTTTTAGCATATAGGTAACATTCAAGGTCACAAGGTCATTGCTCTTGATGTCATTTGAAAGAGCTTAATTAGTGGAGTATGCATACTAAATATGAAGTCTCAACCATTCATGGTTCCAATATTATGACGAAGGTTAAAGTTTGCAGACAAACAGACAGACAGACAGGACAAAACAATATACGTACGCCTTGGATCTTTCGATTCGGGCGCATAAAAAGTACTTGTCATCTTGCAACGGTGTTAATCAAAGATTCTGACTTTTTTATTATCCGCTCCTGCGAAATTTTAATCGTTAACAGAACATTCTATTTTTGACATATCTATTTATCTATATAATTTTTTATTTATTTATTTATTCATTTATTTTTTTATTTATTTATTTATTTATTTTCAAGGGAAGATAATCAATCAAAGCATGGATACGACCCATGTCACGTGTCTCAATAAAGACCAATGAAAATACTCGATAAAGCTTCAAGATGGCGGACTCCATGATTAAATGAAATAGCCTGCTTTCCCGAACCTATAAAACGTCATATTTTGTAGTAGACACCACCAATTATTGTATAAAAATTGAGAAAAATAACATCTGACAAACTTTAAGGTAATGAAGTATACACTGCTTTTGAACAGATTTCCAGTAACGGAAAATAAAAAGGGAGATATCGTGCGAAGATATTCATTCGTTGTTTTCTTGTAAGATATGAAAATATACACATAGATTTATTAAGTATACTATTACTACTACCAATATTGAATACACACAGATTAAGTGCAAGGTATATGTAACAAAAAACCCACTTTAAGACTTGTGTCATTGTAGGCACAATCCAAAATAAGGCAAAGTTAGAAAACAAATTTTTACATTTTATTTTAAACAAATTCACGCTAAACACTGCATATGAATTCTTATAAAACTTTCTAATATTTTTGCATTAAATCTTCAACACTTGTCATCATATCATGTATTATACACTTTATTACATGCACAATGTTATTGATTTTTCTCTCCCTGTTTCCACTCAGAAACATTAATATTTGCTTTTCAGATTATATGACATATGAATATAGAAAAAAAAATTTCATCAGCTGATTTTTTTTGAAATGATAATGATAATTATAAATATATTGTTTCATAGGTATATCTGATGAAACTATGATGTTTGAAAAGACTCTTAAGCAATGGCACCAGACATTTCCATAGAGAGATTTTCCTGTCACATGAGATGTCTAGCACTGCCAGTCAGTCCTCCAGCAGTAATGTTGGGGGTGTCACATCACCAATGTCTGCCCTGCCTGATGCAGGAGGCTTGGGGATAAATGCCAACCCTCCATCTGAACCAAACAAACCCAGAAATCAGAAGGAGGAAGATGAAGAAGCATTTAAAGAGCTCGTAAGAGTTGTATTGTGTATAAAAATGTTATGGTATTGTTTTTTCATATAGAATGAGCTTACTTTAAACATAGATATTCATACTAGATATAAATTGATTCATGTGAATGAGTACGTACTAGTTTTAACCACATATAGTGTGGGGGTTATTTACACAATACCAGAATTATCAGTTGTTTAAAAAAATAAAATCCATAATGAGTGTAATGGAGGATATTTACACAGAAAGTAACATAAATTACCCACACATGTTTTCAAGTAATATCTAGCTGTGTATCTTAATTGATTAAATGTCCATTCAATATTAAAAGTAAGCCAGTGTGTTATCCATTACAGTGTGCTAGCAATGGACTCAACCACAGCAAAATACAGGGTGGTGAGCAATGCACTGCCGAAGTACTTGAGATGTTCTTCTCCGGGTATCCCAGAATCATCTACATGGACAAATTCCCATGCCTGCATACACTGGTGTTTATGGGACAAAGTATCAGTAAAATTGAGGGTTTGAAATCTCTTACAGGACTGAAAGAGCTGTGGATTAGTGAATGTCAACTCAAAGTAAGAATAAGCTTTTTGTTACTTGTTGTAATACAAATGAAGTTGTCCTCTGCTTTGAAATGTAATATATATATTATTATATATTCTTACTTACATAGAGGATACTGTAAATCTGGAAATTTTTGCTGTAGATAAATTTTTAGCAAATTTGCAAGTTCATTGCATTCGCAAAAATATTTTTCTTAAAAATAATTCAACAATAAGATAATGTAAATAAAGTAGTAGTCATTCGCAAAATTTTGAAACGTAAAAATTAATCAACAGCATTTTGACCCAGATTCGCAAAATAAAATCGACGTAAAAATTTCCAGATTTACGGTATGCATTGATTCTCTCAGTTTTGCTATTGACTCCTGACTGGAGAAAGTATTTATAGACCTTCCCTGTTGCTTAATTCTATTCAGTTTATTAAATACGATATATTTTTTCAAATTCAATTTTTTCTCTCTTTTTCAGAGCATTGAGAATTTGGAAACATGTTCAAAACTTGTAAAATTGTTTCTCTATGGAAACGAAATCTCTAAAATAGAAAATATTAGTCATTTAACACATCTTGAAGTTCTTTTTCTGAACAACAACAGAATAAAGAATATTGAAGTAAGTTTTGCTATTTATATATTATTAGAGATATGAAAAATATTTAATACCATTTATAAAGATATGACAAATATTTAATATTATTTATCCAACATTTGCATGCAGATGGTTAAATTATATAGGGTTTATGTACATTGTAGCATTATTATGGATTAAATGGCACTGGAAATATGCACTGTAGATCTGTTTGATAAACAACATTACACAGAGCTCCAGATAATTTTTTACCCCAAAGTGTATTTACTCCCTGATTTTCAAATCAATGCAGATTTTGATTTTCAGCAAAATGATTAAAGAGTATTTTGTTTATATAGAAATGTTTTGACCTATATTTTGAGCTTGTAATCGAAGTACAAGTTTTTGAAGAGGGAAAACTCTTCAAAGGTCAGTTCCTTAAATTTCAACAAGATTTTTTGCTAAGATTGGGAAGCTTCCTTTTTGACAAGGAAGATTATACAATAGGTCAAGGTACACTGTACCATAGAGTCAGAGACACAGATAACTTTTCCTTCATTTAAGATATAGTATCAAGATTAAAACTGAAAGAATCTTCGTTAATATGGCAAGTTGAGAGAGATGAAAAATTGGCTATGAACCCATAATAAAAAAAAATTATGCCTAGTGCATAGTCTTTCTACATAGAAATTGATTTTAATCTAAATCTCCGATTCTTCCTCCCGAAATGGAGATCGTCGTCGTCATTACTAGAATATTCCTGATCACTAAAAGGCTTTTAAATCTGTTCTTCGTTTTGAGAAAAATCAAACACTGAGTTTACCTCAATTGGTATCATTAAGTAAGTTGAACCTGTATTCCTCAAATGTTGTAAGCATTACTTTTGTGGTGTAATGCGTATATATGATAGCTAATGCGTAATTGTACGCTCTATTTTAATTTTCAATGCGTATTTTGTAAAATTTAATGTATTTCTGCAAATACGCACCTTATCTGGAGCTCTGATTACAATGTATAAGAGTACTCAAAGAACTCTAGTACTGTATTGTTTAGGCCTTTTCCTAATTGAGTATAAATACATGACTTTGTAGATGTAAATAAAGTGTTGTTGTCCATACTGTTCTATTTCAGAACTTAGAAAAACTTAGGATGCTGCATACTTTGAATTTAGCTGAAAACCAGATAGATAAAATAGGTAATACATATTAATAATGAATACCAAGCTAAAATTTGCAACTTTAAGTTTAAAGAACTTCAATGAACCACCATACATAGTAACACTGAAACAGTTTTTAAAAATCAAAACATTGACCTTTGACTTGCACTTTTTCCAGGCCACTTTTTAGATGCTAATCATAAATTGGCTGACCTGAATTTGTCAGGAAATCCTATCTCATCTCTCAGGGTAAGATGACTTTTAATAAGACCTTTTATATTAAAATTTATTTCACATTACAGGAAAGCAGTGCTTCATACATGTATACTTAATATTTACACATTTACATTTATATGTATTTGTTGTATTTTTAGCTACATTACTGCTATAATGCAGTAGCATACTAGTATATTGAATTAATTTACCCATTAATATACAAGACTTTATCATTCTTTTGAGCTGCATGTCAGTATACTGAATTCTTTACCCATCAATATTCAGGAGTTGACACACTTGATGAGGTTGCCAGTATTACTGTCCCTGAGCCTGAAGGACCCCCAGTTCCCCCCTGCCCCTGTCAGTCTGCTGTGTAACTACTCCACCCATGTCTTATATCACCTTCCCAACCTCAGCAAATTAGACACTTACGATGCCAGCAAGAATGTGTGCGAACTTGCAGAGGTAAGTGGTACTGCACATGTTCACAATATGAACGCAGTTATGATAAGGCTGTCCGAAGGCTTAAAATGTCTTAAAACATACATTTTATTTTGAGCTAGATTTTAATTTTAATATGTTATCCTTGTTTGAAATTGCAGTCAACTTGAGATAACAGTTTAATCAGGTATTATAATAAAGCATTTCTGTGATGTCAGATGACTGTGTTGATCACGTGACGGACATTTTTGATATTCTTAAATGTTGCACAAAAATCGCATCGGCACAAGTGCATAACATAATTATTGTGCAAAGTTTGTTATATAGATCAATTCATCGTGATCCATGGTACTTAAAAAGTGCTGGGGGCAGGTTTAATTTTTTCTTCTTAAGAAAATAGTTTACGATAAATTAAAATTACCAACGTAAGAAGGGGTATTTTCCACTCATTATTGCGATTTATACAAAAGCGGATAAAATACATACGACCCCCAGCAAAGTTCAGTAAGAAGACATACACCTCTATTAGATTCACGCAAAATATCTTCAATTTATCCTCGTCTTTCACTTGTGCCAGTCCAATATAAACACAATTCATAAATTCTAACTCTGTCTACGGAAGTGTAAGGGGAGCGTTTCAAACATAATATTTTGCTATTGCTCGAATATATGCATATCGGACAAGCAAAAGGAATAGAGATATTTAAATATCAAATGTTAAACATTATAACAACACACACAAGCTTAAAAAAAACCTTACATTTGAATTAAACAACAAGTCCCCAGAATAAATCTACATGCCGTGTTACAATTATGACACTTTCCCCGTCATGTCAGCTCAAGTATGCAGTGATTTGACGTCATATTCTATTATGACGTCATATCTAGGTAGTTCAGGGAAGTTACTACAGTTTGAACAGTTTGATATTTTACGGGCAGCCTTATCCTAGCTGCGAAATGAGTGGTACTTTATTAACATCTAGATTTGTTATGAATAATTTCTCAAATTTATTTACAAAAGGTGTAATAAAGGGAGATAAAAGAAACATGAATATTCAATATTGCATAAATTCATTTGCTTTATTGAATTTTTTGGGCAGCTGCTACAGGGAAATTTTACATTTGCCTTGTTTTTTTCTGGAGAAGAAGATCCAGAAATGTTTGATCTCCAATCTTTTAATGTCTATTTAAAATTGAGATTTTATTTTTTAAACATAAAAGGCAACAGTACTGAAGAAAAAGATGTACTATAACATGAGAGTAAAAACCATTAAGCGCAACATGGCTGACATTGTGTCCAAGATGGAGATTTACAAATCCAGACTACTGGAGTTTCCTCATGAGAGACTTCGGAACCTCATGAACTGCATTAAGGAAGTAAGTTTTGTGGAAAAGTTTGGTTCTTTAATGGAGATCAACAATTCACAAATGACACCTGGATAAAATTTGAATTAGTAGTGACATTTTTTAATTACAGTACCTTTTTAATAAACAGATAATTTTTGAATGGTATAAATGTGATTTTCATCATAAATTAAAGATTTTTGTATTTCAAATTTAATTCATTGGCAAACTACACTGTAACATACGTCATGAACTTTCAAACTTTTATCCTTGCATGTTTTTATAATGACAGAAAATTGATTAAAGTGTGTTATCTAACTTCATGATTTTATTTTGTGTAGTAATTAATTCAAAGGAAAGAATTATCAATAAAGCTAAGATTCATGTTTATAATTTTATGGAATTAGATTATTTTTCTTTGTTACCTTAATGGGTCAAGTCTGAAGAAACACCTGTGTCTATATAATATTCAGTTCGCTTTCCTAATACATGTAACAAATTAAAAAAAAATAATAATAAAATAAAATTTGTCAGTAGTCTTAATGTAGTATGGGACATTTTCAGGTGCGTAGAGAGTTTGAAGATTTGATGATGGAAACAATAGATATATCAGTGTTTAATGACATGGACCATGACAGCAATTTATTATTGGTTCAGGATTTAGAGGAGGAGGTGATTTCTGATACTAACCTCTCCCCCTCAACTCCCACCACCCCCCTAACCTTGGGCTGTATCATATATACTGAATGTCACTCATTCTAACAATTTATACTTTGTAGATTGTCTATAGCCTAGATTATAATACATGTATTTGTACCTACTGTATATATTAATCAGAACATCTTTGTTTATGTAGTTAATTTAATTGCATGTGATGCTGACAGGGTAGTGAAAGTGAAACTAACTTAACTTTTTTTTTTGAGAGTTTCAGTTATTGGAATTACAGAACCTAACTTGTAATATTTAATGAACATTGCATGATGCTGCAGTAACTTTTCATGTAGGGAAATTATTTTAGTTATTAGAAAGTAGAAAGTAGAATGCTTGAGCAGGGCACACCACATGGGATATACATATTACATGATTTGTTTTTCACTTGAGGCTATTAGGCTCAACTTAAGGGATCTGATGTCTGAATGGCAGTTTTTTAGTTTGTCTTGTGTCATGTGAAAACTGTTCACATAATCTATTCCTAGTCTGCTTGGTCAAAGTCAACCAAACTTGCCATAAATCATTGTTGTTTGATTGGTATTTATTATTTTTTTTCAAATCAATGACAACAGCCTTTTCCAAGGGGAGATAATTAAGAAATGAAGTTTTCAATCATTTATCTCTTGTAAAATCTGAATGCAAAGCATCCTTTCATGAAACAGGGATTTGTCTTTGAATACAGGAAAATTTTCCTTCTTGTTGGAGATACATGTACTTGTATTTTAAATTAGGCTATAAAAGTATGTTTATAGCTTTGTTACATAACATAATTAAAATTTGTTCAAATCTTGGCCCTTAATTGGGTATTGGATAGGGGTTACAATTGGGATTCAAAATATATCAGTTGTATGAAAGTCCTCGCCTCTGGGGTCAAGGAGGTAGGGGGACATATTATTGTTTCGAAGGAATTTCACAAAAAAGTTCTAGTAGCATGGGGCCTAAGAAGGGTTTTCATTATATTAATTTCCTTATGTAGTTATTTGTCAGAAAGGAGCTGAATGGGCAAGGTTAATATTGTGTCCCATGGGTCCCAGTGAAAATATCAAGAATTTTATGGGAATCAACATCATAATATTCTTTCTTTATGTGTGAAGAATTGGTACAATATCTTTAAAGAAGCACAATTACACTGATTTGAATTAACACTATATATTTTTGAAATGTAAATATTGTATTTGATTATTTTTTTTGTATTTTAAATATTTATTTAAAAAGTCATTTCCCTGTTATTGTATCAATATATTTATTCTACTTCAACCATAATGTGTAGTTATATATGCTTATTTACTTCCAATTTTTATACAGAACACAATCCAAAACAAAAAGGGAAAATCAAAATTCCCTTTTTTTCACCCAAGGTTTACAATCTGAAGTCATTTTGGTCTTAAAATCCTTATTTGTGTCTCAAACAAGTTCCCTTTTTGAAGATTTTTTTAAGTATTTGAGGAACGTTCCTCTTTCTACACTTCAGATGCATTTGTTATGACCAGACTTTTGAGGAATGTTCCTCTCTCTGATCTTCAGATGCATTTGTTATGACCAGAGATTTGAGGAACGTTCCTCTCTCTGAACTTCTGGTACATTTGTTATGACCAGATTTTTGAGGAACGTTCCTCTCTCGAACTTCAGATGCATTTTTTTTATGAGACATTTGAGGAACGTTCCTCTCTCTGAACTTCTGGTGCATTTGGTATGACCAGAGATTTGAGGAACGTTCCTCTCTCTGATCTTCAGATGCATTTGTTATGACCAGAGATTTGAGGAACGTTCCTCTCTCTGAACTTCTGATGCATTTGTTATGACCAGACATTTGAGTAACGTTCCTCTCTTACAGATGTGCACATACAGTGTGTATTTTTATATACCTTATGAATGAACACATCAGGCATTTGAGGAACATTCCTCTCTCAAATTTATTACCGTAGGCATCTCATGAATTTTCAAATATTAGGCATTAAAGGAACGGTCCTCTTCCTATTTCAAATATTTATACTATATACACCATGTACACTGGAGGAACGTTCCTCTTCAAACTATTGACACTGGATTTACTAGTCTAAACACAACATATTTGAGGAACGTTCCTCATCCAATTTCAAATATTGATGCTATATACACTGGAGGAACGTTCCTCTTTCAACTTGACACTGTATTTACAAGTTTTAACACACAATATCACAAACGTTCATCAGTCAATTTCAATTGATAATACATACTACATGTATATAAACAGTACATTTGAGGAACGTTTCTCTACCAATTCCTATCAAAAACACTACAACCATGAATCTTAATACACTGAACGTTCCTCTCCCCATTTCAAAATTTGACACTGGACTGGAGGAACATTCCTCTTCCAACTGTTGACAATGGATTCATGTCGAATACTCCTCTTCTGATTTCAAATGTTATTATATAACTTTATACATGAATCAGAGTATAATTGGATTTGAAGAAAGCTGTACACCCAGGTACTCCCTAACGTAAAAGAGTAGATAATCCTGTTGATTTCATAAAGTCAAATTTCAAGGTTGAGACTATTCTGACACAAAAAAATAATGTCTGCTTAAAATTTTGGGAACCCTTTGCTTTACAGACATCAAACTTAGTATACTGGTACTCCCAAAGGAATAAAGACCCCTACTGATTTTGGGTTACAAGGTGAAAGCACAAAGCTCAAACTGATCTAGAAATAGAAAAGTATTGTTTACTCAATATTTCAGTAACTTGAGATTCTAATGTTTGAAAAATAATTTAATGCACTAGATCTGTAGTCCTCCTAAGAAATATATGACCACTTTTGATTTGGGGGTCATAACTCGATCACAAGATCAAGTACGTGTCATTCTTGACAATTAATATTTTAGGAAATCATTTTTCAGTCAATTTTGTGAAAAGCCTCTTATTATTACAGACATTAAACTCGTTGGTACCACTCCTTTAGGAGTATACATGATCACATTTTATTTTGAGGTCTTTAGGTCACTTCTCTGGATATAGGAATGTATATCTGCTGAATAAAGAGTAAATGTTTATTTTTATTTTAAATGAGAAAAAAGGGCAACTGTTTGAATCGTGCAAGAGACATAAATCTACAACAAGGAATTGATCAAAAAAGTTATACCATTCCCCTGGTCCCCTGCATTTACCATTATGATATAAAACTGTTGTATAAAGTAATGCTTTCTTACACTAAAATAAACAATTTTCTTTAACAATTGAAATTTTATGATATTTATTAAATGAAAAAATCTTTCAGGAAAAGTATTCTATCCTTAGCTTTTTTAGTATAGTTCATCCAAGATTAGTTTATGAAAAGTCAGTGCATTGACCAGTAAATTCTCTATAAGTTGAACTTACATTGACATTTGAAAATCATGCACGTGTTTCTACTTACTTCATCACGCAGTTTTATGACCAAAACTAATTTTATAACTTTATCACAGTATATCACAGTATAACACGCAGATATATCAATGTCTAATTTCTCCAATTTCGAATTCCCCTTCAAACAACAGTTGCATTTAAATGATAGCTGTTCACATGTGCAACTGCGACCCTTCCATACATATTTGAATGGAAACATGTGGTTCCATTAACTGAAGAAATGTCAATCAAAACACTGCACACTGATAATCTTGGGTGTGTTATCAGTCTTGGACACATCCATCTCTCAACCCTACCAAAATGTTCACGATTTCAATTCAGAAGATGGTCATCACATCGAAAGATTGTTCAATAAAACAGGATGTTGCAGTTCTTCACAGTTAAGGATTTATCAAGGTATATATGCAAATAATATCAATTTATGAAAATTCTTTGTATGCTTTGTTTGGATAAAAATTAAAATAAAATATTTTATCAATAACTTAGTCAGAGTTGATCAATCCTGCTGAAATATAAGCTGTCAGACACTTCCAAATACCAGTAAATTAAAATGAGAAATTTAATTTTAGACAAAATGATATGCCCTGGATTTCAATGTAAAAGAAAATGAATACCCTCATGACACCACTTGCAGCAACATTTCAGAGAAATGATTAAAGTGTCCTAAACAAATCAAGTAAGTACCGTAGTCATAATTTTCATTATTAGTTGGGAAAATTAGAAATTCTATGAAATCCTATATAATATATATATGTTTTCAAATGCTGTACATGGCAGGAAATAGATTAATTATATTGAATATAGTAAAACATGTTTAAAAAGCAGTGCCAGGGATCGACGGATGATTTTGCATTATTATGAGCGAAATTCGTTATGAAGATAAAAATACATAATTAAGTCACAGGGAATAAAAGCACTTCGCTGTAACTCAATTCAACATAAGTGTGTTGGCAAAAATCATGTTTTACCGTATTTTGTTTTTTTTTATTATTCATCATTTACTTATCTCAATTTATTTATTTTTTTTTGGGGGGGGGGGTGTAAGAGGGGATGCATGGGTGGGGTCCATGCCCATACTAATTTTTTTGGCTTCCTAACACAGGAAACTTTGATTGAGAATTTGCTCCTTAAAAAATTACCCCCCCCCCCTTGCCACTGAACTTATCCAATATACTTTCTAAAAATATGCAAAATATACATATTTATGTAGTGTTTTTAATTTGTATTACGGGTATATTTTTAATTTGTAAACTGGCATGATTTAACATGTCCATATTAACTATACATTATTGATAAGAGACGTACACTCTATTTTGAATTAAAATTTGGACAGACCTGGTATATTTTATATGCCAAGTCAGTGTCTTATTTGCCTTTTTTTAATAAAACATTAATTGATTTGATAAAGAGAACAATAGCTGTGTTTCACCTAGTTCAATCCAAAATTCATCCGTGCTTGACTAGATGCTCAGCACTGTTAATTCTGATGGTTTTAGAGCAGAGCAGAACACATTCAACGAGGCTCAAAGGAATAATCTAGTGTGTCAAAGAATTAATGTGTTTAGATGAAACAC